ATTTATAAATTTATTTTATCAAATTTTATTATAACATTGCCTTATAAGTAACTCGGTCCTTACATACAGGCAAATCGAGCACAACCTAAAACTATAACAGATCATTATATTAAAGATTTAGCCAAAGGACCATTACAAACTGCGAAGTCGTATGCGGGGTACATTATAAATAGATATAAGTTTCATACCGATGTCGGTGGTTCAAAGAGAGCATCAATGTGTAGTGAATCGTGTGTTAAAGGAGTTAACTACGGTGAGGTGAAAAATGACTACTACGGTAGGTTGATTGACATACTCGAACTTGAGTATCCAGCCTTACCAATAAAGAAAACAGTTTTGTTCAAATGTGATTGGTATGATACAACACTTGGTACCGATACACGAGTTCATGATCATTATGGACTAGTTGAGGTTCATAGTCGTAGGTATTCAAATGGATCCGATCCATTCATACTAGGATCACAAGCGCATCGGGTGTATTATGTAACATATCCTACATGTAAAGGCATACGACGAGATTGGTTGGCGGTATGTAAGGTTAAACCAAGGCCTACGGTTGATGTGCCGAAATGTCCGTTACCGTCGATCAAACCAATATCGAACCCTTTCAAGAAAATGAAATAGAAGGTCAACACAATGTCATGCACATTGATGATGATGAAGGTCGACTCATTAATTGATCCTACTCGGAGCATTATTAGAATTGGACGATGATGAAATAGATATTCGAATGAATCGGAGTTAGAAACCGATGTTGAAGAAGACTTAAATAAAGAATGTGATAATGATTATAATGATAGTGATTAGAGATAATATGATATATCCCATTGGATTATGTTATATTGTATTTTTTATTCAATTCATAAATTATGCACTTGGATTTTATGTAATTGTTGTTCAAATTTAAAGGTCTAGGCAACCTTGTCCTCCCGGGATGTTGGGATAGGCTAGTTTTGTCCCCCAAGTGTAATTTTTCAAACTATTTTAATAAATCTCCGGGGTAACGTCCTTATTCCGTCACAATTTTAGGAAAAAATTAGGTTTATTCATATGTTTACCTACATAGTTAACATATAATTTTTAAAGGTAAGATTTAATTAAATAAATGTTTATGATTTATTGTTGTTTAGTATAAATCATTTAGTTCATATTAAGTTGAATGTTATATGCAAGTATATTGCATTATATAATTCATATTTTATTTAACAACTATTGACTTTAATAATTAATATGTAAGTCATAATGACTCGATGTAGGGGTCGTGGTTCGGATATTGATCGGTTTGACGGTGATCGTGGACGTCGTAGACACCCTTCTTATTTTGCTCACGATCGGATGGATCCCCCACCGGACATGCCTCCGTACCACTCTTCCGGTGGCCCCTTCACATCTCGTTCCATGCTCGTCATGTCTCGGCCTGCAGCCTTTTGAACCTCTACGTCAACCTCCCTCATCTTTTCTATCGTCATCGTCGGTGCCTTCGTCATCACATCGGGACAACCGTTTCGTTCCTCAACACGTTTCACCCCACGATGTCCCACGTCAATCGGCTTCGAACCAATAACATATGCGGTTGACTATCGAGTATGGGTCATTGTCGTTGGGCGCAATGAGTACGGTTTATGCTTAATTTAATTAACAATTTTTTTAGTTACCGTTATTATGTATTCCGTTATTTATGAATTTAATTAATGTTTATTTTTTTGTAGGTTGTATCCCTATGATGTTTGCTCTCGATCGATCGTTAAGACATTCCAAGAGTACGTTCATTCTTCGAGATGGATGTGGAAAAAAATGAGTCCATAGACAAGATTTTTACTAGGAAGAATTTAAGGTTCTAATTTCTAAATTTTATTTGATTAATTATATTATTTAATATTTAATTAAATTGTATAAAATAATATGAAAGTAAAGTTAGTAGTGTTTATTATTATTTTTTTTGGCGTAAATCATTTAAGTGGGATGATGATTTGAACGAGAGCATAGTTAAGAAAGCATGGGAAAGTCTCGCACGAAGCGATATTCGACTTCCTTTGTCGTCTAAGAAAAAAACCGAAGCCGGCATATATCTCACAAGAAATATGGGATGCATGGACTACGGAATGGACGAAACCCGAGGCCGTTACTCGATCCGAGATGGCAAGCACGGAACCGTGGGAGCGAGACTCGGTGGAGTCGGAGCTAGTCCTTCTAGACATACGGGGGGATCAATCGGCCACGAGAGAGCACGCCATACGCATGGTAAAAAATATATATTATTTAATTTATTTATAATTTTTTTAAAAAATAAAATAAAAAATAATTAATTAAACATCCGACTATATTTAATACATTTACGTTTATTTATATATGTTTTCGGCGTAATGTATTGGGTCGTGAACCCGATCCTCACGAGGTTTTCTTGAGAACTCATCGGAGAAAGGTTAATGATCGGTTAGTTTTCGTCGATCAACGGTCGAGGGTTATCGAAGTAAGTGATAAATTTGAAACATTATTTAATATATGTTAGTTAATAACGTTATGTGACAACCGTATTTGATGTGACGTGTTTCATAATTATACAGGAGATCGTACAAAGATTAATTAATGAGGAAGAGGTTGCTAGCCGACGATCGGGAGGGACCGAAGCGACCACACCCGACATTAATGACATCTTTCAAAGGGCCGTTGGTGAAGGAGATAATAGGAGAAAGATGATGTACGGACTCGGCTCACATGCATCTCACTATTATTCAACTCGTCAACGCGTGCTCATCTTCTCGCTACTTCCGCATTCAATGCAGTCGACAAGGCACGAGTTGAAGGAATTACGAAGCAAACATCTACAAACACGACGCACATCCATAACTTAGAGGGTATTGTGAGCGACCTACGGGGCCAAGTGGTATCGTTGTTGGATACCACAATTGAGTTGAGAAACAATAGTCGAAAGCGGTTTACGATGATGTCACAAATGCGACAGATGTTCATGCGGCATTTTGAGCATGGTGGTAGTTCATCCGTCGTTCCCGAGACCGACAACGACTCGACCCGGCCTCCGGACAACTCCATCCACCCTTCGACCGATCCCGGACATTAACTTATTTTAGATTTTCTCGTTTTATTGTATTAACCGCAATTGATGTACTCGTTTTTTTATTTAACAATAATTTAATTGTTTAGCGATGTTTTAATACATTTTGAATAATAAAAATTTACGTTTACGATATTTTACGAGATTGTTGCTACTTTAAAATTGTTACTTTTACCTCATTTTATTATTGTTTTAAATAAATTTATTTTTTCAATTAGCAACCCTTTTAGATCGGTTTAGACTCGTCGCTAAAAATTAAATATTACCAACGGTTTGCACCGTTGCCAAATTGATCGTTGCCAACAATTTAGCAACGGTCAATACCGTCGCTAATCCGTCGCTATTTAGCAATGGTCATACCAAGGGTTTAAAAGACCGTCGCTAATGTCATTGACATTTAGCGACGGAATAGCAACGTTTTGGACCGTCGCTAATTTTAAAACGGTCCGAATCGTCGCTAAAAAACACCGACGACCTTTTTAGCGATGGTTTCTTGACCGTCGCTAAACCGTTGCTAAAACCATTGCTAAAGCGTTTTAGCAACGGTTTTTTTAATTTAGCGATGGGTATGCCCGTCGCTAAATGATATTTATGTGGTAGTGTCTATCAATTAATTATAACTTTATTTTTGAGGTATAATTTTTTGGGATACAATATTATGAACAATATATTTTTAAATTCATGATATATATATATATATATATATATTAAATTTATGAAAAAATTTTAAAAAAATTAATTAAAAAAATTTTTTTAAAATGATTTTGTTCTACGAGTGCCAGCGTAGGCACACACAAAGCGACATTTGATTATCTATCATATATATACAACATTCTTTTTTTGTTTTGCTTAATAGCAGCTAGTTTGGGCAGCATAATCATCTTCTGTAACGATACACAAAATCCCACAGAAAGAGAACAAGATCAAGATGCTGGAACCTGCTTCAAAAAAATGAATAGAGGAAGGCAACATGGGCAACCACAGTTAGCAATTGCCATAATTAATCATTAAATGTTAAGCACATTAAAAGCAACAGTTTTGTTGAATTTTAATGCCTTATCCATATATTCTTAAGCTCTGCATGTCATAATTTGAACTCAGAATTTAGGTTTAGCCATTTTCATGTGGTATTGATCAAGAACAGTGGATGTAACCGTGACCTTCAATATTTTTATTTGTTTTTCTAAACGAAACGGAAAGTGTACGAGGAACTTGCAACATTAAGATCACGTTCTTCACAATGCATTGGAGATATTAAACAGCTACATCTGCAAAATTCATTCTTTGGCAGGTTTCTCCATGCCAAATATTGGATATGTCCACATCCTTCCAAGTTGGTTAGGACAAAGTTAGCAGAATCGACCCTTACAAAAACCATGAAACCAAGAAATCACCACATAATTAAGCGCATGCTTTGCTTTGGCTACAAATGGGAGGCCCAAAATGCTGACATGACAATGCCATGTTTATGCGAATAGCGATGGTTTACAAGCCACGTAGCATTGATGCTCATTGTAGACGGTGGTGGGCGACTTTGGCCCTTTAATGTCCCAAAGAGGAGGTGCAAGTTATGGTTTAGCCATGAACCTTTGTCTCTCCATTTTTTCTGTCCCTACATCCCACTCTTTTCTATGTCCCTAGTGTTTCAACTTGCACTTGAAAAGATTTAATACACCTCTCTCACAGGCCAGATTTCACATGGTTTTTTATATGCCATATATATATATAAATAGCACTGTATAATTGACTCTTTTTACCATTGGAATATAGATTAATTTTCAGGAAAAAAATTACTAATACTTAGCATGGATAATGATGTACGTGAAAAATCAGAGCTATATATCAATATTACTGAAAATTAAAGGAAAACAAAAAAACTTAGTCCGGTAAGGTCAATTTGGAGACTTGACATTGCCAATTAACTTCAATGGTGATACGATCTATATATATATATATATATATATATATTTCATCCAGCATCTGTTGCATATATATGACGTTTCTGTTTGGTTCTGTTCGTATCCATCCATAGATATTTTGATTTTTGACAATAGATATACATTTTGGAACAACTAAATAAGTGAAGTACGACACTAAAGCAAATATTAAAAAAACTATTTTCACATTTAATAAATACATGAAAACGAAGCAATTTAAAAACATTAATAACGATTTTTTGACAGTTATGGTATGAATCTTACCATTGATTTTGAATTCAATAATTAATTAAGAATAAATAAGAAAAATCAAATGATATAAAGTTTTGTTGCATTGTTATCATGCAATAAATCATGCGCATGTCCATTCGATTTAAATTCAACGATTTTATTTATTTATTGATTATTTGATAAACATGAAGGTTATATATGTTCCTAATGGAACATGAGATGATCTATATAGATTGAATGGATCACTGCTTAAGTCTTTTAACTATGAAATCTTATTGGGAGTAATGACTATGCACAATAAATGGAGAGTATTTGAAATTTGAGTGGTCACTCCTTTCACAAGATAGATTGAATTCTCCATGGAAACAAGGTGAACAAAGATTTTTTTTTTTTTAAAAAAAGGAACTTTTGTCTCAAGTGACAAGCCCATATGCAGTTGGTAAATTCAAAGCACAAAGACAAGGAATGGAGTTCCTCTGTAGAAACACATGGGTACGTACGACCGATAGATTTGGTTTGTTGGTGTAAATAGCCTCACATTTTATCCACTAGTAGTTGCTAATTTACCATTTTGGATCCTGCACATGTTGATGGTAAAAAGAATCGCCCAACTTGTTTTCTGATAAATAAAGGAAATCTTAATTTATCGTCTGCAACATCAGTGTAACTCTTGGTTTTTGGAGTGATAAATTGCCCTGGAATGCTATTGCAGAACAGCAGACATTAACATTAGCCATGTGCTAAGCAACCATTAGACTAGCTAACTGATTGTGTCTTTGATTTACAACATAAAGAGACTGAGAGATACTGTTGGTATATCTCTGAATTATACATCAAACATACATTTAAATTTCGAATCCCAATAAATCACCACCATCGATCATGCACATTTTCATTATGTGGCTCTATAATGTTTTCTATTTTCTTGGCCCTCCCCAGTTGATTTTACATAAGAGAGACAAAGGAGGCCCCCAAATATCTTCAATTTCGTTTTCAAGGTTCATCACCCAAACATTTGCATGTTCTCTTGAAGAACGTCTCTCAGACCATACAAAACCTGCATTAAATTCTCTTGCTACTCCAAGCATTACAAATACTTATGAGCCCTAACTCTGAACTCACCAAACAAACATTAGTATTCATTCTGTGACATCAATTCCCAAGAACATCTCTCACCATGTCAACTCTCTTTCTTTTACTTCTCATCTGTTTTTCTTTGCATGCATGCAATGCTCGCTTTGTTGGATTCACTGAGAGGGAAACCAAAAATCAAATCTTCAACAAGGTTATTAATATAAAAAATATTAATATAATAATAATAATGGATGTATACATTTTTCATTTGCTTTTAAAGCATTTCAATTTTGCCTATATTTTGTTACGTCCATGATTATTTATGAAGTCAAATTTTTGCAGGATGTAGATAAACTGAATCTCCATGGAACTACTTCAGTGCCATCAGAGATGGTGCCTCCATTTCCAGAGGAGCAAGGAGCACAAGGACAACAATATGTAGTTAGGAAAACAGGTATAAGTACTCGTAAGATCAGTTTGCTTGGTGCAACCGCTATGAACCAGAAAGATGCAGAAGTTTTTATGAAGCAAGAAGAAGGCACAAAAAGAGCAAGTTCAGGTAATTTTCCGTCTCAGGATGCAACCTACCATAAAACATATACAAGCAAACCCTTGATTTGAAAAATCACTCGGAATAGAGTATCCCAAGTTGCTCTTTAATGTAATAATCCCCCTCTAAAATCATACAGCTTGCATTTTCGAAAATCAATCATGCAATTCAAGTTCTATAATCTAATATATGGAGTTGAGTCTCCTAAGTACCCCCTAACTTTTAAGATATCCATGTCTTTGAAAAATTGATAAAACCTAAATCTTCTATATATTGATGGAAATGGAGAAGTAGTGTCTAGCTTTGTCTTCCGGATACTTGTTGAAAGCGTACATGCTAAATAATTATCAGAAAGTAATATGCTGTATAAAATTGCTTCTTGTTATTTTGTTCTTCGAGATGTATCGTTAGTTGCTTTTATGGTTGCTAATGATAGCAATGGTATACCTGCAGGAAATATGGTTATCGTATCTTCACAGGCTGATTTGCAACAGGCGTCTAAAATAATAGAGGTGAGCAAAACACTCCATGATCATTTTAATTAAATATTCATGAGGATGGTTTTCATGGTTGCTACTGACCAAGACGCATGACCCATCTTCCTCGCCATGTCCTTCATCAGGATGGCAAAGCAGATTGATTAATTTGCTCATGCATGCATCATACAAGCCATGAGATCATGAATAGCATATAGTACAAATTTGCTTAATTACATGTCGAAGCTGATCAATGAATTCTGTGTGTGTGTGTGTGTATATATATATATATATATATATATATATATATGATAAGGAAATTCATGTATATATTAATGTTGATTTGGTTGGTATTAATTTGTCCAGGGATACAAGGGGCAAGAACGATCTATGCTAGGATCGACAGCAAATGATACGGAGGAAGCTGTGCAGTCTGAGGAAAGCGATGAAATTTCCGAGGATGTAGTAGTCATGGATTATGCACAGCCCCATCGGAAACCACCCATCCACAATGAAAAACCCTAGATCACTTTGTCATCATACACATACTTATGTTGCTTTCTTCTCTGACCAAACGCCTCCAAATTTCTGTTTAATGGAAGACGATATTTCCAAGATCTTCATACAATAATGTAAAAACGACAACAAAGAAAAAAAATTCAGTAGCGCTTTTTCATATTCTCTGTCAATAATAAGAGAGATATATACCTGTGATCGATATACATATATTAAGCATTTTCATTAATAAAATTGTTTTTTCTTGTCGGTTTAAAGGATTACTAAAACCTGTATTATACAACGAGGGGCGCAGAATCTCACAATTTAAAAATCCGTTCAATATTCATTCCTAAATAATTTGATAGCCCAAGGCTTTCAAATCGGAAGTTTCAATTTCAAAACATCGAGATATGTCTTAGACACGTACCATAATTTTAATTTTTTAGATGGTGGCTTCTTAAATTTGTGATTGGAAATACAAGGATGCTCTAAAAAGTGCATCCTTCAAATTGAATTATTGACTAGCATAATATTACCTCCCTCTAACAACCTTGTAATCTTTCAGCTCCTAGTTGGTACAGCGATCATAAAAGATGTGAAAAAATGGATGAAGGCCCCATTCACTGTATTCTACGCTTTTGTATTAATGACATTAGTGAATAAAAGGGACAAACTTGACATAGATTTGCTGTCATTGTTGGTTGGTTGGTTTTTCTAAATGAAAGTAATCATATCTGTTTCGGTTTGATTTTTCAGTTACATTTCTACATAGACAACTGCAATAAAGCCTTCTCTCATATGTGCTATTTAAAGTACCGGTTAGTTGCAGACAACTCTACAATGGTCCGCGAAAATAACTCAAATCAACCAGAGATTAGTGACAGGTTCCAATAGCATTGAGAGTTCTCACAGAACTCAATACAGTTAACCCTCATTGTTTCACATCAGGCAAATAAAAACATCAAGAATCCAGATTTGGCAGTAATCTGTGAAATAGCTATCAAGGTGAAATGATCCTTATTAGTGAAAAGGATTAACGTCGATCAGTGTGACTCGACTTGGTGGGAAATGACACGTCAATTGAACCAACATAGGAATAAATGAAACTTCAGCTTACCTCCAGGAGATAACATGAAGAATCATGACCCAGAAACCTAAACATAGGCTCCGTGAGTAGTATATCAAGGACCTGCACAGTACTGCTCTTCACCATCTTATGTAAAACCTGCTAGGATTCTACAAATGGCGAAAGACGACCATACCTAATGGGCGGAATTTTCAGCATTGCTCCAAAAAGATGCTCCTCTATCTAAAAATAATGTGAAATTATTGGAGTAAACTCTTTCCAGTCACAACCAAATACTCATGTATATTGACTACAGATTTAAGATCTTCCAATTGAATTTCATTTCAATTCCAATAGCCAATGAAACTGTACAATTAAAGTAAACGTTTCTGCTTCAAATATTACTATCCTGAAAATTTGAAGTCTCTACATAACTCAATGAAAATGTCTATTCGTATCGTGAAAGCTTTATCTTCGTTTGGTGGTCCTAATTTCATTTTTTGTTTTAATCATGCGCCACTGCAGCTGACAACGAATGGTTTAACAAAATCAATAAATTCAGAGGTCCTTATCCCCAGCTTCAAATCAATCTCTCCTCCGCCCAACCAGAAGAAATCAGGATTGAGTCTTACAATGGCTTCATCCAAAATCACCTGAGTTCAAAACATCCTCAAATCCAATTAGTAACAGTACAAGATAATCACAATCCTCTCTCTAAATGTATTTATATATCCACATGCTTGTGTGTGTCAGGCTGTCAGAATCTCCTTTGTGACAATTTCAAACAATTTGGGGAAGCTTTAACCTCCACCATAACATTCTATAATGTTCCCTATACAAATGCATGTGCAAATATTACAGAGAGACACGCATACATGTCAACAGCCATTTGCTGCTGAAATTCCCAGCTAGCTCAGGCCTATCTATGTGAACAACTCAACTTTCAGAGTCAACCCAACGTTTATTCAAGTGTCAGACTGGCAGAAAATCACTGATCTTTACCACCATTAGAGTGGACCACTATATTACATCTGAATTAGGTAGGCATGATGTTTAGAACCTTGGACCACTTGAATAATCAACAGCTGGCACAGCAGTTGAGGACTCGATTCATGAAAAGTGGTTCCATGTTACCATTTATAACACTAATATCGAATCGAAGAATACTGTTTTTTTTCCTCTTCTATTCTCTGCCATTTGTTTTGTTTTGTTTTTTCTTGGCCTATTTATCAGACTCTCTATATGCAAACCAACCACACCACCCATAAGAAAGACAAGTATCTACCCAGGCAATTAATCCTCTGGACAAACTGACAAAGTGTTCGGCTGCATCAAGCAAGACAGAACACTGATGTATGTACTGTCTTGAAAACATGTGTAAAGTACACATGCAGGAGCAAAAGACCTCAAGTAAGTTTTAAACTATGAGGAAGTTTTTTGTTTTTTTAAAAAAAAAGGTTAAATCAAATAAGCCATGATAGGGATCAATCCTAAATTCTCTATTCTGGCAATTACATTACACTATACAGCTTATCATTTACCTTCCGTTCAAAGATTACCAAATGTTTGTAAGCAAAGATGAAGGTTGAAGTGAAGGTTCCAACAAGAGATTGATTATAAGCAAATAAATATTTTAAATCAGATTGACTTGAAATAGAATATTTAACTGAAGGGCTATATAGCTATTGATAAGTTCATTCCTACTTCCTAGCTAATGTTAAGACCTCAAATAGTGAGGGTATTCACCGGAATGTCTGTTTTCATGCCAATACATGTCACCCCATTGTGCTCGTATCCCGTCAGCTTCACTGATGTCTCCTCAGGGGCAAGCCTCACTGCAAATTTAAAAAGAGTAAGGATATTTCATTGCCTTCTCACTCAATAATCACATAAAGCTTGAAGAGACTGAGCTTTTTACTACATGCCAAGAAAAGGCTTCAGCAAAACTTGCAATCTCTTTCAGTGCAAAATCATACACAATTATTAGTCAAAATTATAAATTCCCAGATGATTTTAACAATGTCAATTCATACAGAGTTCATCAGTTAAAAAAAAAAAGCAGCATTCAAAGATAGTGCAACATCTTACACTAAAATATTTCTACCAACAAAACCATCATTTGGCACATCTTGGGTCGAGCTCAAATTGGAGTAATTCATTCAGCATTTCATGTGGTTTCTTGTGTCTGTTTTATAACCCCTTTTCAATTCTCAGTCAATACTCAGTGCCAATGGCAATTCTCATCACTTTCTCAGCTTTTCATTCATAACCCTTGTAGTATTTGCTTTATAACCATAAACGTATATACACAATCACTTCAGCTATAACTTTTCTATTTGAATGCATGAGTAGAAAAGACATCAACAAATCCAACAAGTCATTGTCATTCCTAAAACGAACCATTTCCTGCCAAAAATCATGTGAACATGTTCTTATTTTAGCTGACGATAAGTGAATTGCGGCTATCTATCCACGTATAGAAGGAAACAATATTCCTATCAATCAAAACAATTAATGTCTGATTGCTGTCCATGAGCCAGTTTCTCGAACAGAGAGAAAGACAAATGGGGATTCAAATTATTCAACTGATATTTCCACAATCCTGATAGTGAAAGAAGATTGGACTGCACATGAAGATTTTAAGCAAGTAGATCCAACATCAACAACTTATGTTGATGCAGCTGAAAGAAAGGCATGCCAACCAACAGGATTAAAGATGAGGAAATATTTCCACCATTGTGATCCCTAAGAGTGGAGAAGCATGAAGTTATTGTATCTTGGCTTTCCATTCCACAGATAAAATGGAGGGCATGAGACCCCTTTTTTTGTGATTAACTATTGGCAACTGAACTTTATGTTCTTTTTCATGTCATGCATGACACAAAAACTATAAGAATATGCGAAAGCTATTTATGCAACAGAAGGAAAGGGTAACAGAAACAGTAAAACATTAGGAGGGATTATTATTAGCACAAATTGTGTGGGAAAGTATGATATAATATGTCAACAGCTTAATAGATTGCTTAGAGTGGGCGATTTCCTAAGCTATAAGTATAATCTGTCACTTTTTGTCAATTAAATTGAATGAACTGTCTGGTCACCAGGACCAAATATGACATCCACCCACCTCTATTGCACAATCAGGTACTCATTTAATTGAATTGTAATTGTTACCTGCCTCTTGTGCACAATCCAAAGATTGTATCGTATTGTAATTGTTACTGATTGCTGATATTATTTGATCTTATGCTTTGTTTTCAGAGAGACATGAAAGGATACACAACAAACATGTTCACAATGACTTGCTAGTCTGTAATTTATAAACTTAACTAATACTTGCAATCTATATCAATTAACCATTTTTTTACACTTTAATTGTGCTTTTTTAAGATGTTAAATCAACTTGTATGATCAACAAGAGGATAATAACTTACAGTTGAATTTCTTTTTAGCTATCTTGCCACCATTGAGAGCATACAGATAGTTTTTAACAGTTTCAGCATTGAATCGAGCAGTGTACTGCAATCAAAGAGGTGTCCCTTTGTAAAACAGTTCAGGCTTCACATCAAATAGCAAACTACTAATGTGGATCAGGGGAAGAGCAAATACCTGAACAACAACAATGTAATACTTCAAATTATTGCGATCACTGCAGTCAGTGATATTGGATGGGGCCTGGGTATTAACCTGAGTAAATAATTGAACTTTAGCCCAACGTTCAGAAAATGAAAGGCAAATTTACACAAATTTATACTATTCTGTAAGAAAAAGAAAATAGTTCAGTATGAAGTTTTAATATTATCTTGTCAGTTGTCATTCAAAGTAATACAGGAGTTGGCAAGTGATGCATAATGCCTTATAAGGCGAATTTTAAATTCAAGCAATTTGATAAAATGAACGGCCAAGGCAAAGCAATGAAAAATACTTTAATTTTAATTGCTATGATATCCAGTTCCATTCAATAAGCATTACAGATGACTGATTTAAATTCTCCAATTATTAATATCACAAGGAAGCAGATTACTGATGTTATTCTTAATACATAATTTCAAACGAAGCACCTACATTACAACATATTTCAACCTGTCTTAAGCCATAATTAGTACAAAAATTTAATCAGAGACAAAAAATGCTCTGTCTGGTTGCAAACTAAAACTTGTTGCTTAATTTTCAAATCCCAAAAACTTTAAATATACTGTACAATTGGTTATATGAGCACAAACTTTAATTACCAGTGAGAATTGTGCATTCGACCATTTGAACCTCCAAACACTTCCCACTCTCTCCTATTTTCTACTCATTTTCACATCATAAATACATACTAAGGAGTTACAGTACTATATGAAGCAAAACAAACTGTTAATTTTTATCCCAAAAGCTCACATTCGAACTCCAAACCACTGTTTTCTTGGAACCTAACATACCATATAAAACCCATACAACAATGTCTAATAAAAATATCCCCATTGAATCTTCCGTGACAATCTCAACACACACACTATCCAAGCCAGAAGAACAATCATTGAAGTGCAAAATAGGTACTCAATCAGTTCCTTGTCTATAATGAGGAAAAAAAAAAAAAAAGAACAACTAATAACTGTATCGTTTCTAATGCCAAGCTCCATGCATTCACTTAACAGAAGAATTCTGCAATCTTTAGATTACAGCCGGAAAATTTGTCAAAGTTAATCAAGCAATACAAGCTATCTGATTATAAATTCATTAACGCACGGTCTTCTTCATTCTCTCCTTTATCAATAATCAAGTAAATGAACAAAATGTATTCACTTTTGCTCCTTTTCTTACTCTCCGTCCTCATTAACTTCTCGATTCTACTAATGTAGCAATACTTTTACGCATCTTCACCTTCCATTAACCAAAAACAATACTAATATATCCAATATAATTCAAAACAATTACTCAAAAACCTAACAACAGCTCAATAAATTGAAAATATAGCAAAGGTGTTAAATAAAAATGTACCAAGACGATGCTTTTACAAAGGTGATCGATAGACGCGGCACCGAGAATGTCGCGTCGGGACTCGAGAGGCCAGTCGTAGTAATCGGAGGGGACATTTTTGAAGGCGAAGTCATTTACACCGTTTGATCGGAGAATGGCGAAGAGGCGAGCTTCAGTGGTTTCGCCACCGTCGCTGGTGGTGGTGGTGGAGGAGAGGTTGTTGTTGTTGTTTTGGAGAGGAAGAGAGAGCTCGAGTTTTGATATTCGATTAAGGATTCGGGTTTGAACTCGCTCCAGCTCTGCTAGTTGTGGTTCCATTTGCGGCTCCTGTGTGTGCGAGTGCGCGTGCGATTGATCGAAACGTGTCGCTAATGTCTTTTCAGTCGGAAGTTAAAGAGTTTAAAATCTTGGGTCAAACCAATTATTTCAGCATTGTATTTTTATAAATCCATCCAATAAGCTTATGTGTTTTCAATTTAATCAATTAAACATGTATTTTATATTTCAGTCAAATAAATATAATTTTAAAAATTCGATAATTTTTATTTGTTAAAGCTGAACAAATAATATAATTGTGCAGAGTGAGACCTATATATGCTATTTATATATGTATATATTGTATTTTTAATTGATCTAATATAAAAAATTATCAAAGTCGTATTCAAATAGTTGAATATTATAATATATATATATATATAATTGATCAAATTAACCTAAAGACTGTTTCTGAAGAATTTATAAAAATACGAAGTACAGTAATTGGATTTAACTAGAATCTTGAGTGTTCTATGCAAGAATAAAAATGCTAGTATGGGAAAAATTTGTCTAAAGTTGAGCCATTCGTGTTTCCCAAAATCATTGGAAACTGTTTTAATGTAGGACTTTTGTTTTTTTGAAAGAAGTATATGAGTTTTTTTTAATATTTATAGATATAAAATATTTTCAGGTTAATTTTCACATTCATTCAAAAATCTATTACTTTTTGAGCTAATTTAAAATTGAATCACACTTAATTTTTTATATATTCAAAAATTTTTGTCAATTAAGTTCATCTCATGTTAACTAGTGGGTTTTTAACATAGTACTGAGATTCTTATATTTCCTACAAAAGGCACTTTTAAATATTATAAAAAACCTAAATAATAAGTAAAAACTATAAGAAAATTTTAAACTTAAATAATACACAAGTGCAAGATGAAAGTAATATAAGTAAAATAATTATAAAAAAAACCTACAAAAGGCACTTTTAAATATTATATTAGCAATAATAAACAAGAGAATGGTAGAAACTATAAGAAAACAAAAAAATCATAATAGATTGATGTCACGTTTATTGCTGCTAATGGGACATTATTTCTTGATCTAACACTATAAATATATAATTGGTTGAAAGTCTTAGTTACCTTAGTGTCACTCGCCATGACATAATACTTGTTATGCATATTGTTAATCAATTTATGATATTCTTTGCACGTATCATTTTGGAATTGTTCTTTGAATTCTTTGATATGTTAAGAGAACTTTATTCTATGGATTCTTAACACAATCATCTCTTGAGTCGTGTGCTTATTCTAATACGGATTAGGTTGGCTATTTGAAAAATCTTCATTCTACTATAAGGTATGGCTTCTTTATTGGGGAAGCAAGAAACAAATAGTCATAGCTCATTATAGCTAAAAGGCTAAGTATTATGCCTTCGCACATACTCCTTTCGATTTAGTATGGTTACGATAGTTTCTTTAGGGTTTTGGTATTTATCATTAAAATCTCGTGTCTCTATATTATGATGATCTTAGTGTTGTCCGGATCACTCAAATGATGTAATGTATTTGAAGGACAAATCAAGTATGTTGAGATCAATTATAACTTCGTTGGTCAACATGTCCACAATGACATTACACAACTTATTTAAATTTGCTCAACATATCAACTTGTCTATATATTTATGAAAAAACATTCATCCAAGTTGTTTTTAATATCTCGTTTCCGAACTCAATCCAAACTTAAGTTGGCATGTGTTTTTCCACCTTAAGTTTAAGGAGGGATGTCAAAATATATTAAACAATTATAAATATTTCATAATTATTTTTAGATAAATTTTGAGTATCTCATAAAATATTGGACTTGATCCATGAACTTGATTTGTGGCTATATATCTATAAAATTGTTATAAAAAATTCCTTGATTATATTTCCAATATTAGAAATCTAGGAGTGTGTATAAACCCTTTGTATTCATGCAATTCTATATATATATATATATATATATATATATATATATATATATATATATATCTCGAGATACAAGATAATTTATAAGAATGAAACTGATTAGAAAGGTTCAAATTGATGACTTTAACTAAACTTTTATTTATTTAAATGATTCTAAATAATTACATTTTACTACAAATAATTATACATCATCAATTCTCAATCAATCTTCACATATACCATCTTTTTTCGTAACTCATCATCCCAACCAAATTGAGAATTTCTCAATTAAATGATCAATTCTATTCTAATTCACTTAATTCTCATTTCATTCATCTTTAATTGTATTTATATAACTTAATTCTTCATTTTCTTCAAATTCTTTTTAATTCCAAACTCAAATTTCAAAATTTTCACTATTCATCATCTTCAACCTCTCAAATTAGTCAAATTTACCCAATTCAACTTTAATTTAACTTCATAAACCACTAACCTAAAATAATTAAACATGATTTAATCACTTAGAATTACTTAATTGACTTTTTCCTAAATAGGTTTTAGAACCCTAATAATAATATAACTCGATTCTTCATTCCAACAAAAAATACAATACAAATTAACTTCAAAATATCAATAACACACACATATATATCTCCATTTAAAGATCAAATGACAAAAATTCTTACCCTTGATAATTGGCTCTTTAACCTCAATTTTAATCCTAAACCCTTCAAGCCTTCCAAGCTTAATCTAGTTAAACACCACTTAAATCAACTTTTTTTTATGGTTTTTTAAAGTTAATTGGGCAAGGTTTTAACTTAGAATTTGAAAGAGGAAAATGGGAGGAAATTGGGAGAGTGAATGAGGAAGAAAAAGGGAAGGGAAGAAGAAAGAAAAGTGAGGGACACGAGCTATCCTGTTTTTGTTTATATATGTTGCTCGATATTTTTAACTTAAATCTTATTTTTAGGATAGATTATTATAGCTATACATGAATCGGATTGAAAATTTTTATGATGATACAAATATATGGGCTAAAACAAGCCTCTCGATAGTGGTACATTAAGTTTTACAATGTTATTATCTCATATGATTTTATTGAGAATATTATTGATTAATATATATACCTTAAAACTAGTGGGAGCAAATATATATTTTTTATCCTATATATAGATGATATTTTACTTGTAAGTTATGACTTGGGTTTGCTTCATAAGACTAAGAAATTTCTTTCTTAAAACTTTGATATGAAGGATTTAGGTGAAGCCTCTTATGTCATTAGCATAAAGATTCATAGAGAAAGATCTAAAAGAATATTAGAATTTTCTCAAAAGGCCAAGTTTAAAAAGTTTTAGAAAGATTCGGAATGTTAAATTATGCATTTTCAATAACTCTTATTGTCAAAGGGGATAAATTCAATCTAAATCAATTTCTACAAAATGCATCAAAAAGAAGTAGATGAGTAACATTCGTTATGTATTTGTAGTAGGTAGTTTGATGTATGCACGAATTTATATAAAAGCCGACTTGCCATTTGCGGTAGGAATATTAGGAAGGTTCCAAAGCAATTTTATAATAAACATTAGAAAGTCTGCTAAGAAAGTCATAAGGTATCTACAACGAATCAATTATTACAAATTGACTTACATTCATACTAATCACCTTGATATGGTTGGTTATTCATATTCGGATTTTGTTGGTTATGTAGACACAAGAAAGTCTACTTCGGGATACATTTTTCTTCTTACTTGGATGAGTCTGTGCTTGGGGAAGTACTAAGTAAACTATTATTGCTTTGTTTACTAAGGAAGCGAGAATTCATTGCATGCTATAAAACAACGACATAAGCTATTTGGTTAAGAAACTTCATTTCGGTCTAAAATTTATTGATTCTATATCAAGACCATTAAAGATTTATTGTGTCAATTCAGCTACGGTTTTCTTCTCTAAGAATAATAAAAGTAGAAGTTAAAATAAGCATATCGACATAACGTATCTTATTGTGAGAGAGAAAGTAAAGGAACATGAAGTGCTCATTGAGCATATTAATGCTGAGCTAATGAGTGCATATTATATAACTAAAGCACTATCGGTAAAACGAGTGTAGAGATCATATGGATTGTATGGGTCTAGCTAACCCATTTTTTATATTGCTTGTGTAGATATTTTTAAGTTATTCTTAGAGATTGATGTGATTTTTATGCACATAAAGTATTATTTTTTATATCCATTTGGATATATAAAAGTTGGACCCTAATGACTTATTAAAAGTCTATTCATAAAGTTTACTTACTCATTAAGTGTTTTGTTTTAAGGATGTAATATATTATAAAACATGAAAAGAAGTGCTTAGTTTTAAAGTATGACCATTATGATTCATATGTTATATTCTTAACCTAAGTGTGAGTGTTTCTACTAACTAGTTATTCTAGACTCGATAAAAAAATTATCATTTTAAGGTAGTGTCATATAGGCCAAGTGGAAGAATGTGAAAAATATACTTATAATGCGGCTCATGTATCATATTTTATTTTAAATCTATAAATAACAATTTAAAGGCTTAGAGCGCATTGGAATCTAATGGTGGGCTAGACACATTCTCGATGGATGAAGTGCAAAATTAGGTTAAAGAAAGAGTCTATAGTTTAGCTATATAAATATTAAGTAAAACTTGTATTTTTCATCAACACATATAACCCTAAAGTATTGGCATGGACTAGAAGGCTCTCTCTCTTTGACTGCTACTGATTTTCTTCAACAATCATTTAAATACTTAATCAATAATGACAAAAGATATGTATCCTATTAATTTTTGTTACATTATATATAATTATTTATAACATGACAAAATTTAATTTTTTGTAATAAGTACAACTCTAAAATTCAAATCCTAGACATTGATAGAAAATTCGCTTAAAGATCAGCTCGCTTACAACTAGGCTAACAACTTATTAGTTTTCTCTTCCATTTTTCTAACATACGGAAGAGAGTAATATAGATAATAGAATTAAATATGAGCTTACTTAGAAAATAAATTATAAAAAGTTAATTAGAAGTGAAAAAATATTACAAAACTTATTGGTTATTTTACTTTCACGAGTGAACTTT